ACCGCAATCTTTTGCCAATTCTTTCACTTCTTCTTTGCACTACCAATCCAATAGTAACAAGTAATTCTTTTATCTTTTTATCAGCACAAACCTATGTACATATGTATGTTTGTACGTACAAACATATGTTTTATTTGCAGTTGATAATTAATTTTTATGACAAACAGTCGATATGAGTGTAAAATTATTATTAAACACTGAGTAGGTATTATTTTTCAAAATTCTCTCACTTCACTTCTCCTTTGCATGTACCCACTTTTGGACCGAACACGCCAAAGTAAACTACATAAACAAAGGCACTGTATTGTAGAAATAATTATTTTTGTTTATTTATTCTGAGTGTTTTTATTTATTGCCAATAAAATCATGAAATTTTTCAAGCAACAAAAATATATTTACACAAATCTCTTATTACCAAAATGACAGAAGACGAGCCGCGCTGTCAGCGAAAGCAGCAACTCGCTAATACATATTACGTTTGGCTGTGTACGACCAATCGCTCAGGTGCACACGATCAGTCACTGCCACTATGTTTTGTGTGAAATAACTATGATTTGCTGTTTCTATTTTCACCACTTTCATGCAATTTTAAAACACACATGCATTTGTTTCTATTTTTTATTTTCTTTTATTATTATTATTAACCTTTCTTTCTTTTTGTTGTGTTTATTTTAATTTTTTTTTTTTTTTTTTTTTTGTAAACCACAAATTAATAGTTAGTTATCTCTTCTAATTCTCATTTCTTGCTACATACATTTTATTTTTAATTATTTTTTCTGTGTATAATTACAACATTGTACCAAACTATCGGCATTTGGCTAAAAGGAATCGCACAAAATATGAAAAACACATAAACAATTAGCAAAGAAACACAATCAGATTTTATTGTTAACGCGTAGCGACAACAAAACGGCGGCGCAATCGACACCAACTACCAACGTCCAAGAGCAACGAACAACAAATGTGAGAGGCGCATGTAAACGTTGAGCAAAGAGCGGCTCTGCTACGAACTCTGCTGCGCAAGCGGAAAATGAAACAAGCAAGAGTGGGAACAGTGCTGCATTTTAACGCGCCGGAATGTTGTGGAATGGGAATTTCCCGAAAAGGGGGATGAAAATGTGGTTAACTGAAGGTGGAATGGTTAGTGATGTAATGTAGAAAAATGCAATATTTGTGCATATGTACATACATATTTGTAGAGAATGCGTGTAAATTGACGTATTGACGTACAGTACAAAACAACATTTTTCCAATAGGTACCATTTCATCACTCTTATATGCATGTATAAGTATTTTTTGGTCGTTTGTAGCTTTCTCGAAATACATAGGTTCCCAACACGAAGCATCGACATGAGGTTCAAGTGATATTTTAGGACCTAAAACACGTTAATGGGCCGAGCGTCTGACTGTCAACCTAGCAAAATAGGAAATGGTTCTTTTTACTTGAAGGTATTAAAGGAATGAACATCATTTTCCACACCGAAGTCAAATATTTTAAGACAAGCTTATATAGCAAACTGATCCGGAGCGGTAGCATGGAGTGGAGCGCACCCGAACAAAATTAATTTTAGAAACTAACTGTATCCTTCACTACCTACTTTGACAATCTCTATTTCATAAGAATCTCAAAAAGGAACGAATAAGAAAATAGCTAGGATCATAATGCTGTAGCCGTCCTTGTAGAAAAACTGGCTGACAAATTGTACAGTGGAATCAACTCTCGGATACACTCAAATAATTTAAGCATCAGACTCCCAAGCCATTGCAACGTGTTTCTAACAGAAGTCTTTGTAAGCATGAAAGCCGATTAACGGCTGCTCATATCTACTGTAGTAGATCAAGGAGAATCAATTACAATATGTTCTGCCAGCCAATATCTCCATATTGCAACAAACACCAAGCCAAAAGTGACAATAGAAACACTCTATAAAAAGCTCTCGAATAAATGTAGCACAGCCGTTATCTGGATCCCAATACGTAAGGGTATCCCCGATATTTGCCGAGGAGTTGACAAGGGGACGAACCCTTCTAATTACATTAAATCTATCAGCCGATGTAACCCTTTGCTAAAAAGCAAACATTAGATGGTTGAATAGCAGATAGACAGGGGTAAGTTGTACGAAAAAATATCAATGCATCTTATCCTTCAAGGCTGGTTCGGGATTAGCAAAAGGAATAGTTTAATAACAGAATATTAATTAACTGTTTTCAGTTCTCTAATAAATTTGTGTAGCGCCGAAGTAAAGGAAAAGCCTGTTGAATACAATCTCTGACAGAGTGCAGCCTTTACAACCGCGCTGCAGAATTTTTAATGAATTTACCCACCGTGGTTGCATGGTTTGTGACTTAGCTCTACTGTTTCGTAGCGGCATCTAGAGGAATTGTTTTGTTGATTTTTTGCTGTTTAAGCAGCGAACTTATACTTTGAATATTATTGGTTTTATATGGATTATTAATTCTCTAGTTATCTCTGAATAACTCTGTGTATACAGTGACTGAAATATTTTGAGCTATAGAAAAAAATCTATTTCAGCTATCTTTTATTTTAATTATACTCAGAAATGATGAAATTTCCGGTCACATTTGTATCTTGATCTAGTCTGATTGAATTAATCATAATTGCGCTTATTTTCATAATATAATTTTTAGGAAAAACCATTTCAATCTTTTAACTCTTTTACATTAAAACCTAACAAAAAGTTTTTTTTCTTGATAATTAGTGAATTGCAGCTTCAGTACCTTAGGAATGTTGTTGTTGTTGTAGCGGCTCGCTAACCCCGCTTAGGTACAGGTTTGATCAATCTACGTCATCGAAGTGATCTAGTGGGAGGTCCAGGAAACGAGCTCTTTCGACGGGATTAGACCAAAGGAATTCGGTTGACTTCGCAGATTCAGCAGGTATTCCAAGGCTCCTGGCGGACGCAATAGCCGATTAATTAGTAGTATATACAGTCGTTCCGAACGACAGAATCCGTGTCCTAGTCCGATGAGCATCGAAAATTATAGGCAATCGAATATAGTTGATGGTCCTCCAGGTATAGCGTGGAAGAACTGATATATAAGTGTGCTCTGTCCGACCGTATATAAGGTTCTAAACAGCGTCGGCTATCAGATATCAATAATATATTATAATTATTTATTATATATATATATCTTATAATTGGCGCTCTGTAGCCATTAAAGCGATTTTCGGTCGAGCTCCTCCTCAAATTTGTGGTTTGTTGTCTTGATGTTTTTCCAACAAATCGAAGGACCCACAGTTTATACTAAGCCGCCTCCGAACGGCTTAAGGGTTTTCATGTCAGAAATAGACATCCCCTTCAGAGGCGCTACCGCAACTACTCGGCTACCGGCTTCTTGCGCTCAAGTATGGTAGTACAAACAATCATGTTCTGGCCTCTTGGAACTCCAATAGCTTCAAACCATTTGGGAATGTCGTGTTTGGGCTCCCTACGTCAAAGCCACTAGTAGCTACACTAGAGCTTCTTATATATACCCGCGACCCAAAGCTCCACACGTGTTTATTACCCCATCTCACATAAGGGTTGCTCACGTTTCCAAGGTGAACGCAAGGTAAGGATTTAAGTGTAGCCCTGCGGCTGTAACTGCTCAACCAGAAGCTTGTCAACCTGATTACATTTCAATTTCTACTGGTGGCTTAAAAATCTTTTTGTATTTCCAGCGCGAATAATCGAACATCTTTATATTCGGTCAATGAAACATTTGTTCCATCGGAGAAGTGTTTTCTCTCTAAATTCAGTATACACTGGTTCCTTCAAGAAAATGCTTCGGTCTAGAAACGTGCTGTGCGCATTTCAAACATCTCTTTTCCTACTTGCAAATGCAGATTCCCTCTTCAATTGCGAGATAGACAACCTGTTTCCTCTCCACTGCGGTGTGATCATGCTCCAACTGTTTTTTGTCTTAACGAAAACCAGTAACTTTTGTTTACAGGGGGTTCTTGAGATGTCACAATTCCCTTATACCAAGTTGCCGAAAAGTGCTCTCGGAAAGCGTGGACGTTCTTAGCTGCAAAGAGGCGGTTGCGCATTTTCACTGCTACAAGATAGTGGTCCATATATCGATCTATCTTTATCGTATAGTCCTCATACAACCGACTTATTCAGCTTAAAGGTTTTGAATGGAAAATTCGTCAAAAAGCATCTAAGACCGTGAGATGCGGCTTAAATAAGTATTGGCGGCGAACATCATTGACATCGGTAGACTATATACAACCGATGTGTTCAGGAATGAGCATCAATATTTCATCCCAAAATGGAATACAAGAAAGTTGATATGAGAATCAAAGGTTTAAAGACTTTGGCACGTACAAATACTGCCCCTCTTTCTAGTATTTCATTCACGAAAGCGGCCAACATCTGATTTCGGGCTCTGATAAGGTCCTTTGAATCATAGTTTTCAAGGCAGACGTAAATTCTAAGAAAGATCGGACCGGGACCGATAATAAGCGAGAGTCAGACAAACACTCTTCTCGTCTCCATTAATTGTTATCTAATAAAAACAACAACTTAGCTTCAACCACACAGGATGTAAACAATTAAATTTGAATTTTATTTATTTTTAACGAATTGAAAGCATTGAACCATTTAAATTATCAATTAATGAGGAAGTGCAACACTTGGTACATGAGTCAACATTCGAAACTTTACTGCGCCTTGAAGATATTTTTGCACGTAACAAAATAAACACACGCCTGAGTTTCGAGTGCCCACTACAGTTAGATATCTATTACGTAGTACAAACATTACATATTGAACAAGAAACCAAAACAAAAAAATATTCTGGGTTTTTGTTCGACAAGTGTTTCCCGCTCGCCCCGCAACACATATCAAAAGATATCGCAAATACTCGATTTTCAATTAACCAAACTTCCCCAACCGCTGCTACTCGAATGTGTTATACAATGATAAGATGTTGAGACTTATGTATATTGGGACTGAAATCTAGTACCGTTGTGTGTTGGTATAAATAGTCAGGCTGGAAGAGTAATCAAACAGTCAAACGAAATTTGAGTTAGCAAAACGTTCTTAGAATAATAATCGAAATGAAAGCCGCTTTCGCAATTGCCGCTGCGCTCTGCGCCTGCTTTTTGGTGCAGTCAGCCGTAGCTTACCCCTTGTCTTCTGAATCTGTGGAACTTTTCTACCTACAAGAACCCCAAGAAACCCAGGAGCCCCAAGAACATGGCCTAAAGAAGAAGTTGCCACCAATTCTTATCGATACTGAGATGACTGCCGCAGCACACATCAAAGTACCGGAAGAAGTTGCCGAAGCTCTCTTGAAGATGATGATCAAATTGCAAGAAGAAAACAGCAAGAAGGAACAACATAATAAGAGACCACAACACGTGAAGGGTGATAAGCCCAGCAAGGAAGAGAAACCACAAGGTGATGCACCAGCCAAGGATGAGAAACCACAAGGTGATGCACCAGCCAAGGACGATAAACCACAAGGTGATGAGCCAGCCAAGGACGATAAACCACAAGGTGATGAACCAGGCAAAGAAGAACCAGCACAACCTGCTAAGCCCGAGGAGCCATCAAAGGATGAGCCAAAACCTGAGGAACCATCAAAGGAAGAGCCAAAACCTGAAGAACCATCAAAGGATGAGCCAAAACCTGAAGAACCATCAAAGGATGAGCCCAAACCTGACGAACCACAAGCTGATGAACCATCAGTCCCGGAGCCTAAACCTGAGGAGCCATCGAAGGATGAGCCAAAACCTGAAGGACCATCAAAGGATGAGCCAAAACCTGAAGAACCATCAAAGGATGAGCCCAAACCTGAGGAACCACAAGCTGATGAACCATCAAAGGATGAGCCAAAACCTGAAGAGCCATCAAAGGATGAGCCAAAACCTGAAGAACCATCAAAGGATGAGCCAAAACCTGAAGAACCATCAAAGGATGAGCCAAAACCAGAGGAACCACAAGCTGATGAACCTTCAGTCCAAGAGCCAAAACCTGAGGAGCCATCAAAAGATTCACCAGCCAAGGAAGAGCCAGAACAATCAGCGGCTGTAGTAGATGCTGAGCAGCCACAAGCCGATGAACCAGCAAAGGAGGAGCCAGCACAACCAGAGGCACCAGTCCAACCTGATGAACCAGCACAGCCTGAAGAACCAGCAAAGGATGAGCAACCAGCTCAACCTGAGGAGCCAGCGAAGGAAGAACCTCAACCTGAGGAGCCAGAAAAGGAAGAACCTCAACCTGAGGAGCCAGCGAAGGAAGAACCTCAACCTGAGGAGCCAGCAAAGGAAGAACCCCAAGCTGAACAGCCCGCCGAGAGCGAACAGTAAAATGGACTTAAATAATAGACTGAAGTAGCCCAACGACTACTACATGTCGAAATATCTGCACAACCACAAAAAGTATTCACACCCAACTTTGCGCTACCTGGTTCAGTTTATATGTTTGTGTAGTAATTTTGAAATAAAAAATTCAATTAGCGATTGCAATTTTCATTATATCAATACTCAAGTTTCATCTCAATGCAGATGGAGTGAAAGTTTCTTTAAGTTTTCATGGAATTGCGTAAAAGTCGGATTGATTGTTGATGAGAAGGTCATATCGTTTTGTTCCAATTCTAAAAAAATATCTCAGACAGTTTTTTTGAATTGCCTCGTCATTGAAATATAGAGAGGAACGCCACCAACCAGACTCTTCAGGAGAAAGAACCTACAAAAATAAAATGGCCGCTTCGGACGTGACAAATCTACCAATGATCAGATATTAATCATATGACGAATATCGGAAGAGACCCCCGAGAAAAGGTATGACACACAGATACTTCGTTGAAACCAGCAATATCACCAACAACAATGTCAGCCTTGAAATCCAAAGCAGCAACGATAGAACTGTGATCTGATATATGCGATCCTATCGAATAAAAAAAAAACGGCTGAAGCGCTGTTGTTGACTCAGATTTAATCGTGTTAGCAGTGCCTACATCAAATAATGAGAAGAGGAACCTAACCTATCTCAAAGGGACTGTATGACGCTAATAAGCCTACCAGAAGACTACAGCGCGCTAGCATATTTCGAACAGTGCTGAATACAATAAGTGTGTGGAACCAGATTGAAGTGAGATCATGGACTGGTTACACAGATGCTGACGTGCCTTATCAACAGCACGTTTTAGTCATCTACGATGTTTTCGGGACAAAGAGCGACAATGAATTTTAAAACTAAATATCAAGGTAACTTGGACACCAGGAAAGTCTCCAAGTCATTGATTTTTCCACTGGTCCAGCTGCTTTAGATGATAAGCGCTACATTCTGAAACCCCATCAAGCCTAATGGTAGAATATCGACGATTTCATCTACGAATGTTGCGCTGCTCAACGCAAGCCACCATATATCCAACCCTTACAAAGTATTGGGCTTACAACCTCTGCCCCTGCATCAAGTCACTTACAATTTGGGGAGCCTTACCTCTATTAGCTTAGGAGAAGTGTGCTAGGGAGAGGACGTTTCTCTAATTTAAGGCATTCCACAAACTTCGATCCGTTCAATGAAATTTTCGTCCCCTTTTTAGCCTTTATTGGGCGCTATCTCAGCCATAACTTAACGAATTTCTATTTTCAAGGGCTGAAGACTTAAAGATTTATTCGCATAAGCACGGTCTTCTGCATGGACCCAAAGAAAAAAGTGTAATGGCGTCAATGTGCAAGATATCGGTTGTCAATTGACAGCGCCAAGACGAGCAACTAAGCGGAAGGGAAATTTCTCTGACAAAAAAGCCATATTCTCTTTGAAACCACAAATTAACCAAGTCGATTTCTTCAATTTCAGGCCAAAAAAAAATGGATTATCATACGGCCATAATACACCAAATTGGCATTGAAAGTCTCGCCGTTGTCGTTTTCAAAGCAGTTAGATCCAATCACACCTCCGCACCAAGAGGTTGTAATGGTTTCTCTTCAATTACTTGGAGATTCTCGGAGCTACAAATGCGTCTATTTTGCTTATTTGCTTATCCCTCGAGTGAGAAAAGTGCCTCGTGGCTGATTTTCGAAATCGAAAGCGTCGTATGTGCAGCGTTGCGAATAGTCAGCTGGCTGCTGTTGTTGTCTGAGCTGGACTTTATATAGATGGTTGTGCAAGTCCAAGTGTAAATTACGTCATAATCGTATATGCCAAAAGAATGTCGCAGCGATCCATTCTCCTAAGTAACGGACTTTTCGCTAAAACTTTTATTGATTTTAACATTTAACAGCACTGTACTTATGAAACCACAAAATGGTTAACTCTATACTTCATTACTTACCGTTTTTTGAGGAAAAATAAAATCATACACATTCGTTTTCTTTATAAAAGCAATTTTTATTACATTTTCGCTATTGTTTTTGTTAGTTGTTGATTTTTGTGTATTTTTGTATAAGTGTGACTATGTAAATATGTATGTGGCTATATATGTATATATGTATGCAAGTGAATTTGTGTAAATGTGTTGAATGCTGTTGGTGCAGCTATTTAATAATACTATTTTGTTGCTGCACAATATATTTTTTTGTTTTAATTTTATTAATTTATTTTTTTATTTTAATTTCTATTTTGTTTTTTTTTTTTCTTTTTTGGTCTGCAAATGCATATCGTGTTGTAGCTTTTGTTTCAATTAGTTTTATTTATATATTAATTTCTTGCATTGAATACTTTGAGGTTTTAATTTTTTTGTTTTTGTTTATAAATTAGCAGGCAAGCTGTTTTTCTCTATTAATATTCGTTTTTTTCTCTTTATTTAAGTTCTGATAATATATACTATAATTTATTTTTATTTTTATTTTTATTTTTTTTTTTTTTATTTTGCATTTGTTATGATAACAATATTAAGCCGGTGCTTCGCCATTCAATTGCACTGCAAATAAAGTAATTCAATCATTGCAAGTTTTTTCATTCGTTTTACTCTTGAATTGTTTTCTTCTATGATCTAGTGTTTTGTTGATACTTCAATATGTATGTATGTGTGTGTGTGTTAGGCTAGCAGTTTTGACATTTTTTAATAATATTTTTTTTTGGTTTATCATTTTAGCTTTGTTATTTTGTTCTTATTTTTTTCTTACTTTTTTCTTTTACTTTTTTCTTATTTTTTTTTTCTTATTCTCCTCGTCAACTTATTTTATCAGTTTGTTAGATAAAATATTTCCAATATTCAGTGGATAACAGTACATATTTTGTGTTTTATTTATATATGTTTCCTAGTATTTTTTATTTTTTTTTATTTATTATTTCCTCTTTTTTTCTCTGCGTTACAGTAATTTAGCATAATTATATATTTATTTATATTATTTAGGAAATATCACTGAACAATGCATTTTATTTTGTTTTATTTTTACGAATTTTGAAGAGTCCATCATACCAAATTAGATTTGAAAAAATTTAAATCTCTTCGAAAATAAAAACTAACAACTAAAGAATTTTATTAAAAATCCCGAAGAGTGATACTCGCCAACATACTTCAATTATTTTTCAGGATTTCTCTCAACAAAATGGATACTAGATGAAAATCTCCAGCTGCGATAAATTATCTTGTTGTTGTAGCGGCTAGGTAACCCAAAATAACAATACCCTGCATCGAAAAAGCCATGCTCTGCATCAAAACCGAGTTTAGCAGAGATGATGAAATATGGAATTCTAATCGATATTCTAGACTGACGCTACGAAAACCAAGGAAACAGCGTATGTTTCCAGCACAAATTTTAATGTTGTCGCTTGTGGGGCACACGGTCTGCGGCGTTTTATAAGACTGTATTCACAAGCATAGAAGAATTCTACACTTTAGTCGAAACTAGCCGTCGTCAAAGTCATGAATCCAATGAGGCTCGCTGGAAGATCGAAATGGCTGGTCAAGTTTTTGTAGCATCACAATGGGTCTTACTCAGATCTAAGTGTAAACGATACGATATATCAGTAGCCACCACAACTTTGTATAATCGTTATCATCGGAAATAACTAACGGGAGAATAACAAAATTGAATTTTTCAAAATACTCGAAATACAATAGAAGGAGAGGGGTTTCAGTTGAACGGGTTTTTGTATACAGAGATTTACGTATGTGGTTAGTATTGGTTAGTATTGAGTAGAGTTCGTAGTTCAGCGGCACAAATGATAGTTTAAAATTTTTAAAATTTAAATTTTTGTTTTTTTGTGTAAAAAAAATTAAAACTTTAGAAGAAAGTTTTGGTGAAAAAAAGTCAAAATGATCGAAAAAGTTCGAAATTTTTGAGCAATGTATAATAAACGAGTGAGTGAGCACTCGTTACTCAAAGATCTGGCTGTTCTGTTCTGTTCTCTGTTCTAACAGCTCGAAAATGTTCGAACAAAATCTTGAGCTCTAGTATCGAGTGGGCATTACTTTTTTTATAATATAATACATACGTTGTTAGGAACGAGTGTGGAAAAGTATTAGCTAAAGCTAATGCAGTAATCAGACCTTGATTGTGCAATTTTCGGTCTCACGTGATAGCTCGATCTCTCCGTATACTATGGATGATGGCACAACAAAAAAGAGAGTTAATGAAAGTGTTGAGAGGCGCTTTGCAAATGGCATTTAAGGACATGACATTCAGCGATTTCGCATTATAGTTAGTTAGTTATATGGTTCCTGAGGGGTGGTGCGGGGACCTTCATGTACCTGTCGTATACGGCTTACACAGCATAACATTATGTTATTTAACTGTAAGCATAGGAATTTTTCTTTCAGTGGCTTCTTTTTCTTTGAATGCGTGCAAATCGCTGCGCCGTAGTTTATTACCGACAGACCGTGGCGGGTATTGTAGGTTAAAAGCAAGCGTCATAGACTTTGACATTCAGGTTGAGCTAATACACTGTCGTATAGCTTGGACTTCGTTGGTTGTAGTTGTGAGTGTCGTTCAGATCGGAGAGTTAGCTGTTTATCTTTAAACAAAAAGGTCTCATCTTACAATGGTACCACAGTGCTGCCGTATTTATACAAATTTTCATTTATTACAAAATTTTAAAAATACATAAAATTAGGTAGTTATTCGAAGAGAAAATTGAATAAATAAGTTAGGTACTAATTTTACCTGCTCTTCTCAGAATCGTCAAATATTTTGTTCAGTGTACATACTTCCCAAATAATATATAATACATTGTTATTATTTCATTTCACTTCTTTTTTATTTAATTTAATTTTTCATTGTTTTTTGATATGCAAGAATAAAGTTTTTTCTCTCTAAATTTTTTCGCTTTTAAAGTTTTTACGCCATCTTTTGCTTAGAACAATATGCCACCTTTCTAAGAATTTACATAATTTATTTCGCTAATACATAAAATAATGACTAATATTACTTTGAAAATTCAGACAACAAAATTTATTTGTATTTAAGCTTATACATATTTTTTTATATTATTTGTGGTACTAATTGATTTGGTCCGTTCTCTAAAGATGACTTCACGTGCAAATTTTGGACAATTTATTGTAGGAAGCGATTACCAATTTAATTGGAAAAGTATCACTTTTTTTCGGGAAATTTCAGTTACCCTTTAGTTTTGGGGGAAAAATACAAAGAGCGTCCCAAAAAAGTCGAATATGAATATATATATATATATGATATGGAATGCTTAATTGGATCAATATGTACTTGCCAAACGCAAACAAAACTCGCAGAATCGTTGGAAGTAGGAGTTGAAGAAAATGCGGTTTTTAACCTCGAAGCTGCTTCTTGAAATATATCAAGGGCAGGGATTTTTGCAAAGAATTGTGGATGGGGATGATAAATGATATGAGCGATAAGCTCAAGAAGAAAAAATACTATGATAAAGCTGGTAAACTCGTTCCATTATCATATATATCGATGCCAGAGGATATCATTCCCGGTTCAAAAGTTAAGCTCTGCATATGGTGGGACTAGTCAGGTGAGGAGTACTATGGCTGTTTAAACTGGACAAAATCACTGACAGGAAACATTATTGACTGCAAATATTGCGTTTGAGCTTAAAACATGCCCGGAAATGACCGAAAGGCACGACAAGTTGATTTTTTAGCATTACAACGCTCGACCCCCGGTGGCTGTTTGTGTCCTAAATTACCTGGAAACGCTGATATGACAGGTCTTACCAAACCCGCCATATACTCCATACCTTGCTTCTTCCGATTACTGGCTTTATCGATGCATTCAAAAAGGTTTGGGTGGCGGTCACCGTTTCATTGATTGGATCGAGAACTAATTTTTTGTTGGTTTTATTCTAAATTTAACAAAGAGATGGGAAAAAGTTTTCGCATTCAACGGACAACACTTTTAATGATATATCTTTTTTGAACGGACCGAATTAATTGGTACTCAATAACTTACTTTTTTATTATTATTTTATTTTGTTTTTATAATTTACTTTATTTATATTTACTTTTATTTATTTATACCATTTTCAACAAAAAAAAATTCTCAACTACACATCTCGATAATTTGCTCAAATTTAGTTACACAATTAATTTTTTTTTTTTTTTTTTTTTTTTATATTAATTATTTTCCGACATAAGTATTTTTTTTAAGCTTTACCAGCTTTTTTCACTTTAATTAAGTACTCTGATATTTAACTACTTTATTTTCAAAATTTAATATTATTTTTTATTTTTATCATTAAATTATATATTCTTTTTTTGTAGGTTTGTATGTATAAGCAATTTCAAAATTCGCTTCAGCGGTTACAAAACGCCAATTATATATATGTATATAAATATATATACATACATACATTATATATTATAATACTATATACGGCCATTCCACATCAAACGTATCAAAAAATAGTGATTTTCTTCGCGATGGCCTTCGATTTGACTGAGACTCGACAAATAGTTCTACTTCATGGCATAACTTGCAGAAAGTGACTTGAAATATTATAAACAAATTCCAAAAAGTCTTGGGCGTGGTTCCAACTTGGAAAAATTAGCATTAAATTTTTTTTTTTTATTTTTTTATGTTTATTTTTTTTTTTTTTTTTTTTTTTTTTTTTTGTTGAATAAGGTTCGGTTAAAGAAATAGTGGGAAAATATAAAGTAATTTTAAATAAAAAAGCAGTGTTTCAAAAAAATATTTGTATTAAAATTATTATTATTTAAGATGAAGCACATGTGTAGCCTAAAGCATAAGTTTTTTTGTGATACCAAATTTGCAGAAAACCGTTAACTATTAACGAATTAATGACCTATTTAATAGGGCTACCTTCAAGGTTTTCTTAAATTTTTTTTTAAATTTTAAAAAATTTTCAAAAAATCCTACAAATCGATTTCTGTCTGTGTTGGCATTAAATTAAATCATTTATCGAATTTCAGCCACATCGAAGGTCATCGCACAGAAGTCTGCTGCGTTTAATATGGAATGTCAGTATATATTATATATTTACATATATAATCAGCAAAAAGTCATGTTGGTATGTGTTTTTGTGTAAAATTTTAATAAATTCAAATTTTGTGTGGCGTTTCATGTTTTTGTTGTGTAGCTTAAATGAACATTTTGATTAGCTAAAGTCAACAACAATAAGCAAAAATCGCTTGCAACAAGAAAGCTCGTTTTTTCTATTTTTTTCTTTCTTTAATTTATTTATTATTTTATTGAATATTTATTTTCCTGCCAATTCTTTCACTCTAACTATTCATAACAGTTATTATTGATTCTATATCAATCCCTGCATTTTGTTTTGCTTTCCTGGTTTTCCTTTTTAGCACAATAATTTATCTGTTTTCGTTTTTCTTTCAAATACAAGTTAACTTATTTAACAATTTTTTATAACAATATAAATGTAATCGTAAAGTATTTCAGGCACAAAGTGAAATAAAGCATTATAATGAAATAAATGTGGACTTTAAATGTATTTTAATTTTTATTATTATTATTTTTTTTTTTTGATATGGCATTATTCAGCGTTTAATTTTTATTTTTGATGGCAACGGCTCAGCAGCATAGAAGCAAAATGGATTTTAGTAATTTTTACCACAAATTTTTACTAAAAAATTTTAACAAAATATTTTTAAGTAAAATTAACATTTTCTAAATTTTGTGATATGACCGGAGGAGGGACGAACTTTTTTCACACATTTTTTTTTTTTATTTTTGCTTTGTGATTTTAGACAATCTTTTTTCGATATGAGATTTTTATCCATGACATTTGAGTCTAAAAAGTAGAGTTTTGTCTTTTAATTATGATTTGCACTTCTGCTCTCTGAGCACAACACTCTTCAGCAGTTCGGACGAATTATGGAACTGTTGAATTGCATTTTAAGCTCCCTAATGTTATTCGAAAATGTCAAAATTCGCTCGCACGTTAAGGATTGATTGACAGAGGCCGAGATGCGTGAGTATGAAAAGCTTAGGAAACTATCCGATACGGATAACAAAAAAAAAAAAAAATGCGGCGACTTACAGAAGTTTTCAAGACCGAAACAAACTTTTGTAGTACCCAGAGAGTTGATCTAACTGCACTGAATTTATGGTGGGAACACTTCTCCCGATTGTTGAATGGTAGTAAAAATTAACCACCAGGAGATGTCAAATGCAATGCATTAATCAATGACAATCCAACAGATATTCCATTGCCCGACCATAAAGAAGTTCGAACAGCAATTGTCCACTTGAAGAACAACAAAGCGAACGGAGGTTGAGGAATTACCGGCCGAGCTAATGAAAAATGCGGCTGCGAAGAACTGACAAGTTTCACGCCACAGCCACTTTTGCAGAATATAGTGATGGTCCACAAAGTAGGAGCCCTACAGGCTACTCCAATAAACTGTTTGTTACTTAACAGTGTGGCTTTAGACCTACTCAATTCAATATAGACCAGATATTCACATTGCGCCAAATCTTGAAAAAGACTCTTAAAACATAGAGCTACCTTCTACAGTACGAAAAAAGACAGCACTATGCCGCTGTGTCTGAGTTTTGTATTCTTGTAAACCTTAAACGGTTGGGAAAACTGACCTCTCGGAGCCTTTTGATAACAAAGAAAGTGACTGCTTATCGTTTGACTTCTTCAATTTATTTCTGCATAAAATAATACGAGCTTTAATGTTGGACCTTACTGGGTCTCAGCTGCGAAGTACGACATTTTCTTACCTTTAATGCCCATCAGGCAATGTAAGAGGCTTCTTTTTAAGTGGTATAGATATTTTCTCTCTTCTCTACGATAAAAGGGCCTCATTATTAAATGTTTGTAAGCAATGTAACAAACCTAATGCGTGCTGAAGCGGTTTTCGACCGAGCTTTTCCTTCAATTTGAGGGATCTATATCGTATTCTAAGCTGCCTTCGAAAGACTGGTCGATATTTATGGTACTAACATTCCCTGCGGGGGACGTCCGCTGTTATTTAATTTTTCCCTGCCCACAACCACTCGGCTGCTGCGGCCGCCAAATAGACTTTGACTGAAAGCTTAATTGAGTGTTTATAATGGTTTTAACTGTTATTTAAATGTCGACTAAGAATACACCAGCTCCGATGCAGTAAACGCCAGTGGATGTAGAGGAATATCAACACCCCACTGGAAATGCCAAGTAGAGAAGGACCTAACTGTACTTGATATTGATTGATTGTGGTCAAACAGCGAAAAGAAGAAAGGAAAAGCGGTGTCTAAGCCAGTAAAAAAGAATAATAAGTTCTCTTTAACGCTGACACAATATTCTTTTAGAAATGTGGTAATAAAAAAATATTTGAAACCCGTTAATAGCTTATTTTGAGCAAAATAAGGATACTTAGGTATTTTTTTCAATTTACAAATTGAATATCTGACTTAAAATATTTTTGTTTCGATCCTTAAAAGACTTTTTTTGCAACCCCAAAATTTTCTGCAATTGTCAGTTTTTGGAAAAAATAAAAAAAATATATCAAAATATTAAAAAAGAAGCTTAAAAATTTTTTCTACTGGGAAAGATTAATAAACGACTTTCGACTGCAACTACGCCTGCTTATATGCTAAATGCTAGCCATTGCCGGTGTAGCTACTTTGTTTTTTTTTTTTTTTGTGAAAGGAAATTAATTTTCTTTTTAATTCGAACTAAATTTCCATTAATTTTTATGCATAAATTCTGCAATTTTATTTCATTTGTTTTATTTTATTTTGCTTTTTTTATTTTTATAATTTTTTAAATTTTTTTCCTTACAATTGCATTTGCTAGCTAACGTCGTATATTTAGCGCATTTACCATATACATATGTATGTTTTCAATTTTGTATTTGCAAATTTAGCTACATAAAAGTGTTTGAATTGGTTACCGAAAATTTAAATTTTTTTAAGCAAATTTTTTTGTGAAATAAATTTTTTTTTTCTCTAAATTTTTATTTTCAGTTTTATGGGCGGTTTCGGCTGCAGCAGTGACTTTTTCGCTTTCTATCGGTTCTATTGCAACAACAACAGCTACATAATATGTATGTATGTAGTAGGTCTCTTGGTGGCGTTTGCGCATGTGGTTATTTTGGAATTTTCGAAAATGTATTTTATTCGGTTTTAGGTTATTCTAAAGAATCTAGTACAGACTACAGTAGGTTTCTGAGCGCAATGACAAAAAAAAACACACACAAATTCTTAAAGTGTAAATCTTTCTACTCTCATCTCTCGCACCAACCACTTACCTACATATATAGCACTCGTATGCTTATCACTCATTTTCCACATATTCACTCTTCTCTGTGTCTATCACGGTAATGATCCCACTTTCTCTCTCTCTCTATCTTTCTCCCTCGTTGTATCCTCCACAATTCGCGTCTAACAGCTGACAGTCTCCGGCAGTGGATTCTCTGTAATACGCATCTTCTGCGCACTCGTGTATGCTGTGCCATTCACACTCACCTCCGGCTCGGCATCGAAGTCCAAATCATCCAAATCATTGTCTACATCAAAGGCGGGCAAGTGACGTTCACGTTCAATCGATTGATTACCATTACCGTCAGAATCACCGCCGGAGGCATCACCGCTGCTCGAGGTGTAACCATTGTTCGAGTTATTGTTGTTATTAATGGCAGTTTCACGACACAGTCGTACATTGCTACGTAGCTTTTTTTGTTGTTGTTGTTGTTTACGTTGACGCTGTTGTTGTTGCTCTAGCTTATCGGCTTGCTGTTCACGACGCTCCTTCTCCAGTTGCTCCTTGAAGTTGGCGAAGAAGATGGACGAGTAGGTTTGATATTTGGTGCCACATGGAGAGGTGGCTGGCGTGGAGAGGGGTGTGGCTGTGGTGTGGTGGTGTTGTTTGATTGATTTTTTAGTTAGCATTTCAGTCAATTGGATGTTGGATGTTGTTGTTGTCATTGTTGTAGGCCAGCATCATCAACCAAGAGTGGTGTAGCAGCAGAAAGTGCAGCATATTAAAGAAGGGGGGACACAGAGGGAGTGGGAATTTTGCTTATGTTATTTAGCGAATTTATTTTCTTTTTTTTTGTATTCTTTTTTTTTCTATTGTAATTTCAACGAATTGAAAAAGTCGAAAGTTTGAATTTTAAGAAGGAAGTGGAAAGTTTGCATTTTGTTTCTATTTGTTGGAAGAAATCATTTCCTAGCGCTTTGTGTGCGAGTATGTTTACATGTCTATGGATGTGAATGTGTGTACTTCTGTGGGTGGTAAGTATATGTGAATGTGTGCCGGTGGATGCTTGAATGGCCGCATGAATGTGTAAGCACTCTGTCTCTGTCAAAATTTTCCCGTTTATTTTAGTGCTTTTGTTGGTTTTAGTTACAAGATTTGAATGAATGAAGCTCAAAAGCTATTTTTTTTTTATTTTTATTTAACTATGTTTGCATGTGTTGTACGTATATATGTACAAATGTAAGCGAAAAATCCTTAAGAGGACTTGTTTGTGTTGAAGTTATTTGAAATAGTTGTTGCTGCTTTTGTAGTGCGTGTTAGGAAATCTGCTTGTTTGTCATGATTTAGTTGGTGATTGATAGATGGCACATTCAACCAAACTTAAATTGGTTTGCTTGGCGCTTACCGTCACTACTATGCACACACACACACACACACACACCCACATACATCTACCCAAAAACACACATGCATAGATTTTTCAGCTTACAACACTTTATGATATATTATTATTATTATTATTATTATTATTATTATTATTATTATTATTATTATTATTATTATTATTATTATTATTATTTTTATTATTATTATTATTATTATTATTATTATTATCATTATTATTATTATTATTATTATTATTATTATTTTTATTATTATAATTGTTAAATTCGCATTAATTTGTGTTAAATTTTTTTCGTGTTTTAATGTTTTTGATTGTGAAGTTCCAATAATTTTTATTTTTACAATTTTATTCTATAATTTTGGCTGAATGAATGTTTTTATATAAAATTGAATGTATATAAATGTAAATATACATTTTTATATTGTTGCAATAACGTTTTTTTAATATTTTTTTTATAAAATTGCATAATATTTACTTTTGGTATGTACATATATATATATATATCGTTTTTCATTAGCGCCAATAATAAATACAATATTTTCCAATTAAATTAATTATCAAATATCATATAAACGACAATATCGGTGCAGAAGGCGTCTGCGTCTCTCTGTATCGTGATGTTTTCCCACACTGCAATGCGGCGAACCTTTATGTTTTATGCGCTTGCTCGATTGCATAATGTTTCGCTGAGCGCCAGGCAGACGTAGAGCACCACTTTCTTTGTTTGAACTAATATTTAACTTCAATAATTCTTTTTTTCAATTTCACGTTATATGATATGACCATATATATTTGAGAAATGGTGAGCTTGATGAGATTTGTGATATAATATATATTATTTATTTAGAAGGTTTAGTTGAAAAATCAAAAGAAATATGAATTGTTTTTAATACAAATCAAAAATAAACAAAATAATCTTCTTTCTTTTGTTATAAGATTTTTGTGAGCTAAAGGCCTGGTTTGTTTGTATGAATTGAATATTTTCAATCATCACTACATCTCCTCATCAGACTTCTTACGGCATTGATCGAACCAACGGATTCTGACGTAACGGGGGAGTGCTATACCACTGTGCCAACATCAGCCGTGTCATCTGTTGTTGTATTATTCAATTCCTTAATAACTAACAACTATTAAGCGTGCTAATTTAGCCACTATTTACTTAATAGTGAGTTGTTTTGTAATCCTGTTTATATACTTTCAAGCGTTAATTGACTGAAAAATATATAAACAGGATTAATGTTCGTTTTAACACTCATAATCAAATCAAAATCAATTATTTAGACATTACTCTCCTGGTAAACATATATTTATAATTCTATCTATACCTATCATATCTATCGTATGAGCGATGCTTGCATTTAATAGGCGACCACAAAATGAGCTCACGCAAATTTGTAAGTTTTTTTCTTTAAGTTTTATTTTATTTCATTCTTTTTTTTTAATACTTTTAAATAATTTCCATTTTGTTCACTTTATTTAATTTAATAATTTTTAGTTTTACTTTACTTTAAATTTTTTTGTTTTACCTAATTTTATTTTAATTTAATTTGATTTAACCTTTAATAATTTCCCTAAATTTTTTTCATATGAATGTTAATTATTTCCCTTCATGTAATTTGATTTAATTTTATTTTATTTTTGAACTTAATTTAATTTTAAGATATTTTTTAATTTCATTTGATTTGATTTATTATATTTACTCTAAGTTTTTTCATATGAATGTAAATTATTTCCTATGAATTAAATTTGATTTAATTATATTTTACTTTTAAATTAAATTTATGTTACTCTGCTCCATATTTTAATTAATTTTATAATATTTTTTAATTTATTTTAATTTATTTAACCTAATTTCGATTGTTTTATTATTGAATTTCTTTTTAATTATCTTATTTTTCTTTTGTGTATTTTAATTTTAATTTGGTATATCTTTTATTTTGTTATTATAATTTAATAAAGGTTAATTTATTATGTTCAAATGTTTTTTTTATCCAAATATCGAGGAAATCGAACTGTAAGTAGAATTTTTTTGCTTCGGTCGGTCTCATGTCTTCCCTGAAAAAAAGTTTACCACCTATTATGGCTCTTTATGTGTTGATATCGCCAAAGGTACATAGATAGTACCAAAAATATATTCGTTTAATTTGAATAGATCGGTCTTAGGTCCGTTTCCCGGTAAATCCTTTCCTGTCAGATGCCGACGTCTTACGTAGAATACACCTTCCAAATTTTAGGGCTCTCCGATCAGTGGCTTAGGCTGTGGGTTGATCCGTCAGGCATTCGGGACAAAGCCTTTCATAATATAGATTTATGATTTAACGGATTATCTAAGTAGAGGAAGTTTTTTCAGTAGCCTGTTTTCGATAAATCACACGTGAGTCGTGTCAATCTTTCATGTAACTTTTATGCAGTATTGTTCGGCAATTCACCATAGAAAGACTTACACCTGAACAACGTTAACAAATTATTCAACTCTATTGCGAATGTTCACGTTCTGTAAAGAATGTATTTCGCGCGCTTTGCTCTACTTATGGTCAACATAAGCCATAACCCATCTTAAGTCCCAGCATTCATTATTGGATCCGAATGGACCATGTGCAGCACGTAGTAAAGAAAATATAGCGGCCGTAGCTGAGAATACTCACGAAGACCGTGGAGAGTATATTTTCGCAACAACTCAGGTTGACGTATGGAACGACTTGGCGCATTTTACGTCGATATCTTAAATTGAAAGCGTACAAAATACATCTGGTGCAAGAATTGAAGCTGCGCGACCTTTCAAAGCGTTATCGCTTCGCTCTATGTGCTCTTGAAAAGTTGAAAGATCAGACGTTTTCGATCCAAATTTTGTTCATCGATAAGGCCCATTTCTGGCTCAATGGGTGTGTAAACAAGCAAAACTGTCGTATTTGGGACGAAGAGCGACCTTAAGAGATTCAAGAGCTGTCAGAGAATACAAGAATTTGTTGGCACTTGTGGGAACTTACCCGCAACCAACATTTGAAAGAGAAAATCTCCACAAAATAAATGCCAAAGAATAATCTTTCGAATGATAATAAACATACCCTGCTAAATTTGAATTTTCTGTTCTTTTAATTTAATTTTATTATTTTTTTTTAACTTTATTTAGTGTAACTTCAATTCATTTGTTATTATTTTATTTCCTTTATTTCACTTTATTTAAATTAGTTTAACTTTATTTTATTTTGATTTTATATTATTTTATTTCACTTTGTTTTATTATTATTTTTTTTGATTTTATTTAAATTTTTTGTGTGCTTTTTTAATTTTAATTTTATTAATTTATTTAAAAATTTATTAATATTATTTCAATTCATTTGTTATTATTTTATTTCTTTTATTCCATTTTATTTTATTTTTTTATTTTTATCTTATTTAGTATTGTTTACTTTCATTTTGTAATATTTTCATTTTTTATTTTTTTTTTTAATTTTACTATTTTGATCAGGCTTACTTAAATTTATTTCATTTTAGTTTTTTACTTGTTAATGTTTTGTCTTGTACTTTTTATTTTATTTAATTTTTTTTTTGACTTTAGTTAGTTAATATAAATTTATTTTAATTTAGGTGATTTCATTTAAAGTTCATTTATTTTGTTCCTATTAATTTTTTTTTACGGATAACGCTGACCACGCCGAAAGGTGCACTTGCGGTACATAGCCCTAAAAATTTAAGCTCCAGTCCATCTAAATCCAGTCCATCTAAAATATATTTCTTAAACATCATTTTGCTCAATACCATGAAGGCCAAGAGTCCTTCGTTTGAAATTAAATTCTTTTTGCGTATCTTACATTTAAAAAACGGACTCTAGTGGCATTTCAGAAAATAAAAAGGTCTTCAGCTTTCATGAATTGTCTATATATTTTTAATATTATGTATGTAAACTGACAGTATTAAGCTATAAAATGTTTTTTATTTTCGCAACTATGTTAATTTCAAGGTATACACAAATCTTTATAAATGATGATGTGAATAAACGTAAAACGTCAAGCACAAATATACATACACTGATAATAATAATAGTAATAACAACAGCAAAATGTAAATAATTCGTATTTGTAATAAATATGTATACAACAATACATTAATTGCAATAAAAATAAATACAATACTAAACACATAGTCATTATATTTATCATTAAAAAATCGTTTAAATGTTCTTTTGCAATAAACAACAAAAAAAAAATAGCAAACATTTACATACGCACAAATATATG